ATTTTCATTTTGTAGGACATTTCATTTGATGTTTGGTTAATGTTTCCTTATGCTCAGTGCTGGGAGAACGAGACACGTTTGATTCTTTTATTTTAAACCGCCAGGCAAAATTTTTAGTTGTTATATACCTTTGGGCTATTTTGATATTCTTGGGATTAGTTAATATTCATGTAGTGTAGTATTACCGAATAAACAGTAAAGTGGGTTTTCGTTTGCGGAATCTTCAGCTAAAGGAAAGAACCTTTGGTTTAACAACACGATTTTATATTAAACAAGTGGTCTGATCAGCTGAAGTGTAAACCTTTACCCAATAGACCAACATGAAGAACTGTGCTTAAATTTGCTTTTCCTCGCTCTTCTTGACCACCCGAGCGTAAAGAAAATACCGCCCAGCCGGTACATCTTGTGAATATCTTTTCTCTTCCAACTGAATAACAGCAGGTTTTAGGGCTATTCATTGTTTCTCTATTCCATTGATTATTAACCTAACGATAAATAGCAACAAAAGAAAATCTTCCTTTTTTATTTACTTTGTCACAAGCGGCTTCCTATATGCTATTCTTTAGTTGGCTCCCCCAATTAGCGCCGATGTGGAAAGTAGTAGTGGTAATTGCTATGAAATCGAAAGCTTGCACTCTGGAAATGGTGAACACAGTGGCGGCGGAAAGTGAAGTTCTCGTTTATTGTTTTAATGTATACGAGTTGTAAAAGAAATGTTCGGAAAAAGCTTTTACTGTCATGAGAAAAGAAAAGCCGCATTCCCAGTCGAGTGTTTCGAACGCACCATTTCAGAATGTGAAGAGACGAAAACAGTAGGTTACATTAGTTAACGGTACCATCGTGTACCTCCAGCTAGACAGTGTTTTAAGCAGCTATGAAATTGATTGCAGGAGGAGATATGACAGTGGACAGGACGTAGGTTTCTCTTTATAATTTTCAGTTGTTTATTCTACATTGTAAGTTTTATCCTTGCCGATGCCGAACACTGACAAAGTTTACGACCACGCTGATTTAAATTTTTTTATTTGTTGCTCCTGCAGAGTTTTCGCATTTCAATAAAGGACAATCTGCCAACTTTTAATTAAACTTCCTAAGAAAATGTTGAGTTAGAAGTAGCTCAAAAGAGAAGAAGATTGATTTGTTGTAATATTCATAAAGTACAGTAGGACGACGTTCTAAATACGTGTAGTTTCAATTTAAACTCGATTAAAACATTGTTGAAAAGAACTGTGTAGAGTACATGGTCTGCTTGTGTATAGAGCATGGTCTGCTTGTGCCTTTTCGCTCTTCAACTGACTGTGTGATAATTGTTTGATGTGGATCTTGTTTGTTCAGTTAGTAAGTGAAAGGGTACGGAGAATATTCCTTCGACCTGTTTTGAGACAGTTTGACAGAATAAGTGGAGAACGGATAGAGAAAAATAGGTTACATTATTCCAGTATATCGTACAAACCTATACCGCTTTTCTGCTGCCATGAAAAATGGTTTGTTCAGTTTCATTGGTGAAATTATGTTTTTTTTATAATTTCGATACATCTACCTTGTTATAGATAACGTCGATTTTTACCTATTCCTTATCACCAATATAAAAGATTGAGCCCAGAAATGTAACAGTGATGTTGTAAATCCAGGGTGGAATGCACTGTTACTTATCTTTCGAGAAGTGCAAGGTAATACGGGAAACTGAGTACGTGCCTGCATTTTACGGAGGGAAAATTACTTAGTGATTAAGAAATAATCTTCATGTACAGCCTTGAATTTTAAATCGGTGTTGTTATAACTGATAACAGTTTACAATGGCACACTGGGGTCGAAATTAAACTATCCATCTCTTTAGAGATTCCTGTTCGAAATTTCCTGTTACAAATATTCGATGGTCTTACTTACATGTAGAAATGTTTGACCTGCGAAGATTAACAAAACATCTGCAGTTGGGTTCCCAACATTTATTCTTGCATCTGAAAAGAAATGTAAAATTAATTTTTAATTTGGTGATTATCAAGATTTTTATTATATATTTTTATTTGATGTAAAACAGTTTTTTTCCTTTCCACACGTTTTTCGAAATCGTTTCTCTTTTAAAACATCAGCGATACAGTTTCATTCCAAATTGATTTGAATTCGCAATCAGGATGCTGGTGATTTCAAAAGATAAATCTGTACATAACGAACAGTCACGGCAGTGTTTAGTGGTGGCATAATGCCTTTCCTACTCCATTTTCCCTTTTTTTCTAGTTCTTTTTTCTCTTTTCTTCGAAACTGGATTTTGAATGTTAGAAAATAAGCATATTGGTTGAATTTGTATATTATATTTGTATTATATATTGTATATTTTCAGGACACATTCAGTTTGATCATTTAACTTTGCTTAAAAACCAGGATCTTTGAAGTTTCGCCTCTTTTTAAAATGGAATCAGTTACTTTGGGGGTAAATTTTGTTGCAATTTAAGGTATATCCAGTTTATAAATCGTTTTATGATTTTTTTAATCGCGCAATTATTGAGATCATGATATAGATTCACGCAGTCGTTGTGAATGTTTGCTCATTATGCAGTAACTCTCGTTTCGACCATTTACTGCGTTCTTAATCCTTCACCGAGTTTGTGTTTCCCAGGTTTGTGTCCAGAGAGTTAAAACTAAATCGATTTTCGAGTGTTCAAGAGCATTTCTCTCACTCTACGAGTTAAGAATTCAGCTCTCAATGGCGACCTTGATGAGGCACTTCTTATGTCCGTGATTAACCTCAATGAGAAAAAAGTGAAAATAAAGTTTGTTGGCAAAAATACGGTACTCAAATATTTATTCTTCCATAGTCTTATTTCAAGAAGCTTGTCTAGAATTTCCCCAGGCAGATTTTACCGCTGGATTAGTGCGGTTAGATTTAACACGATTTTAAAATCTGTTTACTTTTAAATCTCGCTTGATTTCATTTACAAAGCAGTTATCACTTATTATAATAATCAGAATTCGTTCGCACGAAGCGATGCAGAGATTGCAACTTCAGTTTTGGCAAAACGCATTTTTTTTTAGAAATGCCCCTTATGACTAAATCCCTTTCCGACGATGTTCAGCCAGTTATGGGAACGTTTATACATACAGAAGCTGTGTATTTTAAATTTTATAATTTTAGTTGAGATTTAAACATCAGAAGTGTGAACTGTTAATATATATTTTCGCAGTCAATTAGTGATATCTGATTGTTAGTCTCAATCATTTTCCTTTTGCCAATAGTAATATTAAATCAATTGGTTCAGCAAGTTAACCTGCCTCCCGGGTTACTTATATCCTGCTTTCATTTCATCATTACTCCGTAAAAAAAATAAAACAATAAAGTAAAGCTACTCCATAAAGGACTGGAACATATTTTACCCTGAAGCTATTGTTTATTTACAGATAGGCAATTCATTTGAATAAACTCGGTCTTCAGAGCGAAATGGAATTCTGTGTAAGCAATTTGTAGTTCGATCTTGTTGTATAACATGACCTTAAAAGTAACTTAAGCCTCTCGCGTTTACTCTGTATACATACAAAAAAAAGTGTATCTTGGTGAAGATGATGAAATAGCGACAACGTTTGAATTTTCTCCTCAGCAAAGCTGAATATGAATTCCAGATTATTAATCTACTTTTGTCTGTTTTTCAAGGAAGCGTAGTGTAATATATATATGACTGATCTAACTTGAGATTAAATGGACACAATACACCCATATTTTTTTTCAAAAATTCGTTCAGTATGTGATCAAACTGATTCCACGGACGCGTAATGGACGGTAGGATTTTATAATGCATTTAAGCTTAGAATCAATGAAAAAAGCCCACAAACTTCACGTAAGTTCTGAAGAAGTTCGTTTATCGAATCAAGGAAAAAAAAATCAAAGTTGTTTAGTCTTGATAGCAAAATTATTCCATTAACTGCACGAGCTACATTTACTAAGAGCTTTTGAGATAGAAAAGAGAGAAATCATAGAGATAACGTAAACAGATATTTTTTTATTAACGATGCTCTTAATCTTCTATGTTCCTAACTTCGATTCAGTTGAAGCTTAGATCGAAGTAATTGAAGGCATTCACCGATTGTCAAGGCGCATTATTCAGAAGTCTTGGTAAGGCAGCGACTTCGAGGCTAATATCACTAGTTCTTGTGTCGTAAGTTCTGCGCCCAATATAATTAATTTCCCTTGATCGCTTTTTCCTTCGCAGTCTTTGAAATTAACTGTCTTGGTTTTCTAAATTTCTGTTACAGGATAGATTTCTGTTATGGTCAGCAAAGGATGCATCACCAGTGTTGAAAAATTAAATGAATTATACGGTTGCGCATTTCAAACAACCATCCTTGTAATTTATATATAGTCATTTTTGGTGATGAGATTAAATCCTACTGTGTATGATGTATTAGTCATTAACAAGTTTTATAGATCTTATATCGCAAAACCGTCTTGTGGATGTTGAAGAGAAACCTGAATCGATAAAACGTATTTGTTTTTTTCTCTTACTTTCCAAGAGTGCTTAAGTTCTAGAGTAAACTCAAGTGAACACAAGTGTAACCTAAAGGTGGCTTATCAAGAGATGAAGTACTAAGGGAGTGCTCTGCAACATATACACTCAACAAGGTCTTGTCGCCTTTGTGGACCAAATAATTTATTCTACGTAGCGGAAAAGTATGTTGCGAACTCGCAAGAGGCATAAGCTAGATCGAAACGCGTGCTGTGTTCATCGTATTACAATTTTTTTTAAATGAGAGCAGTATTGTTTTTCCGGCCCAGGCTGAATATTCTTATTTTTCTGCCCATTTTAGGCTGAAAATAGTCTTTTAAATATTCTTAGATTATAGAGTATGAGATTTCTGGTTTATTGATTTTGATGGCGTTGAAGTAATTTGGGAGCCAGATTGCAGGCAGTGAAGTCTGATATGCGGACACAGATATCTTCTTGGAGAATGTGATTACAATGCAGCATCGAACATACGGCTAGAGCTGTTTTTGTTTGTTTTTGACTACAATGTAGTTTTACTGTTTAGAGAAAGGTAGAATTTTATACGGTTTAGTTTAAAATATGTGTAATTGCATTCTGCTTATATTTGAACACACAATCATCACAAATATATATTATTTTCCAACTCTCAGCCTCGGGTTTAATTCTTAAAATATCCTTAAAATTTCGCAAATTTCAGTCTTGATATTCTTATAAGTTATATTTTTATATATGTAAAAAAGAGTGTATCAGATTTATCATCCATTGTATTTTTTTGCTATGAGATCTTTACCGTGACTGTTGTTAAAACTGAGTGAAATCTAATTAAAAAAATAACCACGGGGCCAGATTTTACAATTTGCAGATGTAAAACATTTTGGTTAACTTTATTTTGCTTACACAGGTAAATTTCAACCTTGTAATAAGCTATACTATACGACTAGTAAATTTCAATTAACGTCATAAATTTTACGCTAACCGTGGTAATGCCAGAGTTTTTGATGGAAAAAGTAAGTTTCTTTGAGTATCTTACTTCGAGGAAGCGAATTAACACGTGTCCTGTATAGGTACTTGAAATTAAATAATGTCAGTGGAGCTATGATTTTAGTGTTCGCTATGTTGTTGAAATAACGGCGCAATATTTCTTGAAGTACACTAGATCATAAACCAAGATTGCCTAAGTCAGACACCGTATCCTGTACACTTGATAAACGAATTTAGGATACAAACTTACGGTATTAGTTTTAGCTTATGCGAAATACCATTTTCTGACAGCCCTTTTGATATTATTTTTAAGTTGGTCTTCGTTACAACTGTACCCTTGTAACTGCACGCGGCATGTTTGTTTGTTTGTTTGCGGTTTTTGTTTTTGTTTTTGTCATTTTGCTTTCTGCATTTGCTCGTATTGATAATGTTCAGTTGAAATGTCGACAGCAGCCGGCCGGAGTTGAAGCGAAGCAAGTCTCTGTATGTGCACTGATATCCATTATAAAAGTCGTAAAAGACATCTCACTATAGTATAGATACTTTTTTCTGGGTTTACTTGTTTGTATGCCCGGCTGCAGTTGTATCGAAGCTACCCGTTTCGTTTCAAGACTCCATTGAAAATCCCATGTGGTTGAGTCTGCCGTGTCAAAGGTTTCTAGGCGGCTATCGTGATGGAGTTCTTTTGGCGTTGATTATGAGAATGTCATCACTTATGAAACATTCGCTTTCACGTGTGTTGTTTCTTTCACATGTTTAGGGAGGCAGCGTAGTTCAAGTGCAAATTGCTGGGCTAAATACCGAAGTGTAAAACCATTAACTTTGATGTCAAATTGAGGATCTGTCACTTCAAAGCGGAACCTACATGGGAACTAAGATCGCGTAAATTAAGTTTTGAGCACTTTTAAAGTGCGCTGCAGTGTATGATTTGTTTGTAGAGTCGAAAAGGTGCTCTTCTTTGCTTTAAATCAAAAGTAATTGTAAATAATCTTAAGTAAGTGCGAAGTATTTTATCGTTTTGCGTGCTTCAAAACTCTGCACTCGACTAAGTTCGCTTATTCCACTGTAGTCAGATTGTGGATGTGCTTCCGTGTACTTGTGATAATAAACAGACTAATATGGACGCTGGAAATGGGGAAATTTCTTTGGTCCGGGGACAACTTTTGGCGTTTTATAAATCACTGGTTAATCAGCACACTTTCGTTAGCACAAGGTACAAGTTGCGTGGAAGTTAACTTTTCACAAGCTAATTGATGCTGGGAGCGACGGCGAATTAATGAAAATGTAAAGGTCAGTTATCTTCAGTCGAACAGTCAGTGTAAAATATACTTAAAGCGTTTTAGACGAACCACAACTCTACTTTAATTTTGCATCTAAAGACGTTTCTTAAAATACTTAGCTTGTAAACTATTATTGAGCACCAAGGCCACAAAATATACTTTCTTTTTACACTATGGTGTGCGCAGTGCAGGAACTCAGTTATTGTTGTATCCGCTACCCTGTTTTCTTTACTTGTAGAAACAATTTCACTATGTTTACTTTGAGGATACGATGTCTTCCACTGTTTATGGAACCAGAGGTTAATGTGGGTCTTGCATGTATCCGTTTTCTTTTTCTTTAGTCTGTGCACAGGATGTGAATTCTCCATGTAAAGACTAAACAAAAACAATCTGACCAACTAACCGTGTTGAGATTGACTAGTTATCAGAACTCGTCAAAATGTGAGAAAAGAGCGGAATTGATTAATCGTGTTGTCTCTTATCTTTCTGATTTTGTTTCCGTTCTATTCCCTGCATTAGCCATAGCAATACTGCCATGACAATTCTTTTCCGCCAAATGAAGAGAAGTGTTAAGGTTTAATTTCTTCATTCAATATCACGTAATGTAGTTTAACTAACAGGTTGAGTCTTCCAGTTGTAAAACACCTGATTTGTGAGAAATAAATTATGAAATTATTATCTTTTCATTTTATGTTTGCGAAAGGTAGCGAAATTGTCATACGATAGCTAAGGAAATTCAAATGAACCATTTACATTGGGTGTATTATAATAAATTGTGACTTAGAATTCACAATCCTTCAATTTAAATTCAGTGGTTGTAGATTTTAGCTCTATTAAGATAGCATTTACCTTAAAAGAAACGACCTCCATTTGTGTGCAGAGTAGTTAGGAAATAATTCGGTACTATCTCCATTTTTAACTTCTGAATGCGCGAAAAAAGAAGAACGACAAAACATTTACTTCAATAATGCGTCTCATTTATCAGTTTTAGAATTTATCAGCGAAACCTGCCACGGTGTTATTGTTTTCAGTGCTCTTTATGAGTTTTAACTGCGTTTCGATTGAACTTATTCATTTTATTGTGGTTTGACTGAAATAATCTCAACGATCGCATTGCCTAATATCATTTAAGATTTTTATATAGATACAGTATATATATACAGTGAAAACTGTATATTTTTTTCTTGCGAGTGAAATCTAAGCACTTCCTGTCGGCGCCTTTGCTGGTTGTCGGCGTCGCTTTATAGCGCGCGCAAACTTCCCGCGCTCAAGTTCTCGACCAATCAAATGGCGCGGCAGCAACGTAACAATGAGCCGAGTTCGTGTGTCACACTTGACCCAGAACAACATGGGAAGTTGACGAGGTTTTGTGTTGTGTACGGTTTAAATGCATTCTTCGGTCTTTTTTCGGCCCTTTTACGCCTCCTAAGTTTGCATCATGGCTCTTTATACTAGTCTGAATGGTAGAGAGGAAGTTATGTTGTGTTTATAGCGACGACTACGTGAAAACATGCAAGTGGAGACTTGCCAACTCCTGCGAAGGACGAGGTGCCAGAAGATCGAGGTATGTTGGAATATTTTTCTCCTTGCTAGCTAACGATTCAAATAACACTTTGATAGGTATGCTGAAACGTTCGATAAGTCTCCAAACTATGAAACTAATGTAACTTTGATGCCGGTTTAAGCTTGGTTTTGTAACGCGAAGGTGATCTGCGTTTGTCCTGTTTTCTGTAACCTTTAAACTTCATACGTTTCTATACAGCTTGTTTTCTTGTTTTTCTATTAGCTATTTTAATCATTTTGATACCCATTTGGTGTTTTCTATGTGCAACTGGCTGGTAAATATTTTAAGCTTCGTTCCTGATTTTGTTATTGCACGTTGTGGGGGAGGTGGAGTATTAAATATCTGGGGTGTGCATGGGGCGTGCAGTTGGTGTGGTTTAGTGTTTTTTTCGGTCATTTGAGGGTCATTTGGATGATTGGATTTTTTGGGATGTATCATGTTTAGGATCCATGAGATCTATCAGATCCTATTAATTATACATGTAAAAGGCTATGAAATGGCATTCATATTCATGTGAAATAAATTTATAATAGACTTGTTGAATTTTTTTCTTAAGCTCTGTTTTTGTCTCTCCAATTTTTTTGTGGCTTCTGTCTGCCTTCATCAGAACTGAAAAGGTTGGTTATTGCTTGCACAACAAGCTTTTGTTTTATCATTTCTAATAATGGTAATGATGATGGTTTTATTGGATGCCATCTTACTTTGTAACTGGTTAATATTATTGTTAAATCATCAATACTTAACTGGAACTTGTGCCACTATAGGAGTTTTATGGCATTTTTCTGGCTTTTTTTGCCTCTCATTGGTTGTTGGGTAAGATATCTTTACTTAACAGAGTCTATCCTGGTTGTAAATAATTTTCCAGCAAGAAAGCTGCAAAAACGAGGTTTCCACAGCATTGTACAGTACATGTAATTCATTACTTTTGCAAAACTGCTATGACCTGTGTGCAATATTTCCTCACTGGACTGTATTTATTTTGTAAGTTCTATGCCTTAAGATTACAACTGCCTCAGACTCAATATCCCATGGATTTCATTAGATTTCCATAGATTTGCTTGAGCAATGCTAAATTTCAAAATGCCTTCTCACCAAAAACAACAACATTTACATGTTCAAATTTCAAAGGCACTTTTGATCTTAACTGATGTGTCCAGACGTAATAATTATGTTATAGTTCAATTATTGAACTATACATTGCATAAATCAGAAGTGAATTGTGTAGCAACTTGAGCAATTGTACTAAAAATATGTAGTGAAGGTGGTATGATAGTCATCAGCTTATGCGAGCTCACACGTGTAAAACTGGCTTCTTGTGTCTAAAGCTAACAAGAAACAAAAGAACTTTAGACTCTAGACACGTAGTGTTTCTCATGAATTTGTGATAAATAGGCTTAAATAAATGTGAGCCACAAAGCAGTGAAAAACAATTATTCTAGAAGCAGTAAGCAACAATAGGTTTTCCTGTCTCACTCGCTTTGACTGCCCTGATGGCTTTTTCACTTCATTAACAGAAAGAACGAAAGAAACCCTCTGGGGGCCCTGGTAGTATTGTAAATAAAAATAAAATACCAATAGTGGGAAAACAATAGGGTACCTCATACATACTATTGTGTCTTGCTGTGCTTGCATTTTTTATTCCCGCTGTGCATATGTGCACATACACTTCCTTGTGCTCTTTTGGCATGAATTTGTGGTTGTTTTCGTGTATCTCTGACCTGTACTGTACATTTTAGCCCTGCGAAACTTAAACCAATTACTTCCCTTGGGGAAATAGAAGGTGGAAGCTTAGTAGATTTGTAAGTGTTATTCAAATACAAACATGCTTGAAGGCTTGTGACTGCTGTTGCACACTTAACATGTTAAGCCTATGACTCTTTTCCTGAAGCACTTGTCATGAAAGTACATTGATTGTACTGCATCCTTTAAAAATCGCCATCACGAATTAATTTAATTTCAAGAAAATCCTGTGACAAGATCTCAGCAAGAAGTGTACAAATTATGACATATAAAGGCTTAAAATGACAAAAACAACAGTGCCTGTAACTGTAGCAGAGGGTGTTAGTAAAAAAACCCTGCGCATGAGTCTGTCTCTTTGAAACACTGAACTTCAACAAGTAAATTAAGAACTGGCTGCTTAATAAGTGGAGGCAACTTAATAGGTACCTGATTAACACAAGTTTGACTGTGCTAAGTAATTCACTGCTGGCAATTCATAGCAAGTAGATCATGATTCCCAATTAATTATTACATGTACTCTCTATATAGATTTCCTTTTGTCAACAAGGTATTTTTTAACACAGAACCTCCATATAGCAATACTGTACCACCCATACTCCCATTCTCTTTTGATCTCCCACGATACCCTGCCATGTACATGTACATGTAGTGCCTGGGATGGAGATTTTTGCTAAATAAGTGAAAGCAAACTTGGAGATTCATCAAAACAGCGTGCACTTCATGGTGTATTTCAGCAAAGGAAACATTTATGTCTTGTCAGAATGTCATGACTTGTCAGGATTACATGTAGTTCCTGGGAGATCTTTTGTGACTTGCATCCTTGTAACAAAAGATCCAGACAAAATGCTACAAAATAAAAATAAAATAGAAAGTACACTACAGAAATCATGTGAGGTGGTATGAAATACTACCCATGGCTTGACTTAACCTGCGTGATGTGCCACTGAAGAATACCAAACAGGTACAATTAGGTATAACAATTGATTGTCAGTTTGACATGACTCGAGATTGATTATTATATTTATTGTATACTATTTCTACATGTATATATGCTATGAGTTAACCCCAGAAACCAACCGTCTGTGAACAGTAACAGTTTACCATAACAAATAACTTTACATGCAATTGTACAGGTCTGAATGTACATACATGTATAATAGAGAAATCATATGTGCACCCCACCCCCACCCCTCATGATTTGGAAAACTGGCTTGATGAACCTGGAAGGGCATTTATATATTAATTTTCTATGTGAGTTTTAGACCCTTGTTGTTTATTACAAATTATGATGACTGCTTTTGTAATAACTGATCTATAGAAATTCATTGACATATAGCTCCTCAGGGATGCTTATCAAATTTTTGGAGCTCAGTCATCACTTAGGGTCCTTTTCGCTCCATGTAGCATCTAAGGCCTCCCCAGTAATCCTATTGAGGCCTTCCATGCTGGGATGCTATTGTAGTTCTACTTTGAAAATGTTTGTGAAGTGCCCAAACTGTAACCATAAAGTTGATTTATTGTCATTAATTGATTTTTAGTAATAAATGAATAACTTAATAAATGAATGAATAAATAAATTAGTCTATTTATGTATGTAAGTATTTATTTATTTATTTATTTATTTACTTACTTACTTACTTATTTACACAACTCAATACTGTATATCTTGTTCTTCTTGTAACAACTTGTTCTCGACTTAGAACTAAACCATACTTGGTATACATGTATTTGGTGACTGGGCATTAACATTGAAAGAGGGGTGCGAATTGCAGAGGACACTTCAAGGAATAGGGAATGTGTATTTTAATGGGGACACTGCCCTTTTTTGATGGAAGTTGCCTACTGGAGGGAAGATGCTAAAAACAAATCTTGGCGTCATTTCTATTGTGATTACAACTCTTAGTCACCCGCAGTATACCAGACCGTGTATATTTGAAGGCTTCAGATTAGTAGGTAAAGCTAAATTTGTCCGTCAAATTTTTCTACATGCGTTATTTAGTTCCATTATTGGTAGACCGCCCTTACATGTATTTTGTGGCACTCGTGTAAAACCACGATAAACTGCGTGTAGCCCCGCGCGCACAATTAGTACGCGCAACACGTACCCGGTCCGCGCTTTTTTGAACCATTTCGTGAGGCAAGCTTTTAAACCATCAACAAGTTACAAGTAGTCCGACCATGCTACAGTAAACAAAAATTAAATGTAATCTTATTCGTAAAAATTGGGTTAATAGTTTACTGTATATATTACCAAATTCCTAGTGTCTGATATAAAAAAATGATTAGAAGAGTCGCAATTTCAATCAGTCAATGTCAGTAACCATTCAACACTCGGTATCAGTAAAAACGCGCAAGTCAATATCTGTGATTTATATCAATGAGAAAAAGCCAAGCTAACTCACTAATATTTGTTTTTGTGCTTACGTTTCTCTTGATAGTTCTTTAATAGTGCTTGAACCTATCTCTTGTAATATGCGCTGTCATGAAGAAATCTAAAGGAAAGTGAAGAGGCAAAGCACGCTCCTAGCACTTGTTGCAAGTTTATGCTCAGTAATGATTCGAGTTTAATTCGAAAACGTTTACTTATTATTTTTTTTTTGTAGTAGCTTAAATAACGTTTTAGTCTGGTAAATAGTATCTTTAATCAAAAGCAATCATTATTGATACAATTTAGGTTCATCTTACAAAGAACAGTTTCGTGTAGATAATTTTGATTATTGAACTTACTTTTCAGATATGAAGACCTATTTGAAAGAGTTTGTTTAATCGACGAAAGCAGGAAAAACATCGTTGATTCTTAAAACAACTGGTTCATGCAGTCTGCGCCATAAAATTATTTACATTATCTATATGCCTGTTCAGTTATTGTGGCCCTGGAAAAATTAACAGAAAACTTGTTTGAAAACTGAAAATGAATAATTATTGAAACAACGAAGGCACCACCTGGAATTTAAGAAAAGGGGCGTCACCGTCGGAAATGGGCATTGCAAAATTTGTGATGTCAAGTATAAACAGATAAATTCTTTGTATAAAATCGTCGTATTTTCATAATCTTCTGTGTTTTTCAGATTTTCTGTAAATCTCCACCAGTTGGACCTTTCACAGCATTATCGTTTGCCAACGATTAAGCTTACTTGTTAATTGCTTGTGGGCGTAGACATTCACCTTAAGTCGATTAATCCTCATGCGAAATATTTTTTAAAATATTTGTTGATCGGATTTAGTTTGGTGCTAATCCACGCTAATCCATGCTGTAGCGACTGCTTATGTGAACATTTTAATTCATTTCTTTTTGTGATAGTCTTTTTGTGTAACTTGNTTTATCATATGACAGGCTTTAATTCGATACACAATTTTACAAGCTTCAAGACCAGGAAATAAAAAAAGGAAAACATGGGATAGATTTTCGCGTCGAATTCAAACCCCATATCTTGTGTGATACGGGGTTTATTTACTTATAGTCGAAACTGATAAAAATTATGGTACGTATCGGAGCATGATACAGCTGTCTGTTCGAGCTATCCGGCTGGCATCTTCTTCTGATAACGCTACATCTGTAATAATCTATTTTTTTCCTTTTCATGAAATTACCTTTAGTTAGTGGCGCAGCTTACAACAGGCCATTTTTGTTTATCGACCGTCGAAGCAATGACTGCGATAGACTGCAATATACAGTTTCTGTTGAACCGACCATGCGATCAGTTTTGGATGCGTTCGCAAATTATAGGTTGTTCGGGGAAATCGTAGATAAATCATGTTACTCCAATTTGACACGTATTTAAGACGCTAGGAATCCAGGTATCAGGAAGCTAATATTTTAAGTGAAATCGAAAACGCAGAAAGCTAAGGTCCAGCGTTAAACATTTACAAACAATGGACCACCAGCAGGAGAAATGGTGATAAAAGTACTTTGTGTACAAGCGGTGGGAGAGTGTTTAGGTTATCAGTTAGTCTTTGTTTCTTACTTTCTTTGACCCTGGCAACGAAATGTCCTTTGAAATTGGACATGTGATAATATTTTCTTTGAAATATAGTAGTTTATCAATAAAATTTCGACACCGGAATTTTCTTGTTGAAGGAATCAGCCCTGTCGCAAGTAATACTTTGCATTTAAATGAAAATATGAATAATTTTGAGTTTGTACTTGTACATTAGGCCTGTGAATAGCCACCGCCGGACAGGCGCTTTGTATACCCTCAAGGCTCATTACGAGTATTCTTAGTTATTTCACTCACTCAGGATTCCCTCTTTAAATTTTACAACAGCTTTTCGCACGTTTAAAACACATGAAATGTACTGCAATCACGTTATTATTCTAGATTTCCTTCAACGGAAGAATTTTACAGCCAAGCGTGCAACTTAACGGGACCGATTCAGCAATCGCTCGTGTGTGATCTCCGCTCATTTATTTTTAGCTAAAATAATCAGTACTTCCTAACAAGTGAAGGTGTAATAAACAAAACCCGCCATTCTCGCACCTCTACACAATTAGTGGTAGTCGTTAATGGCCTCTATTGAACGAGTAAATGCTCATTTTGGGTTGTTGTCTGTTCAGTTGTCCCATTTTAGAAAGGGGCTTTGTCTAGCTGGCACTTAGTGCGAGCTTTTGTTTTTGTTTGGTTGTTCTTTGCTCGGATGAGTCATTTAGTGAGTACACAAATTGCATGGTTTGGCAGAGGCTGTCTTCTTCTTTTATTTCAACTTTCTTATCAAACAAAGTAACAATGTTTTAACGGCGTTATTTCAAATTTTCGCCTCTTGATCATCGCGTGAAAATTTCAACAAGTCTTCTTTTAATGCAGCATCTCAACCGTAGACTGTCAATGATGGCATTAGTATGTTCCGTTTTTCATACCACGTGCCCCTCTATCTTCCGGAATAAGAATAAGCGAGTTACAGTACAAAGGCATAAAAGCATAATGTAATCATGTCCAAGCTTTTAAATTGTTTTGTCTTTAAGAAGAAAAAAAATGTAGTACGATATTTTAATGGTACTAAATGACGAGGGATTGCGACCGGCTGTTAGCTTTACATTACCACGGAGATCGGACACCGACATATTTCTTTTCTGCTTTAAAGAGTTTTATTAAAAATGCATTACCAAATTGAATTATAAGTTTCTTTCATCTTCTTAAGTGGGTCGCATGCTGTAGTTATTGAGATGAAGTATAAGTTGAGTAGGGGGACGCCATCAAGTAATTCGTGTAACACGAAGAACGCTCAACTGCTGCCACCGCCTTGTACTTTCACTGATAACCCGAGATATTTTTTCAAGCTAAAATGTTTTTGTTTGCACGAAATGTTTTCTTTGGTGTTCACTTCTTGACAGTACATTATCTCTGGATAGCTGAAACCGGAGAAGGCATTTTATTTTTGTGGTTTTCAGACAAATTTTAGTTTGTTATGACAGAGCCTTCTGATCGAGCATCCATCAGATATTGAAAATGAATGCTTTCAAATCCCCCGCATCTTTGAAACAATGTGTGCTTACAATAAACTCAAGTGATAGCATATTCACGTAAAGCTTCTCCAGTCGCCCACTATTCTGATGAAAGCGATTACAAAAGTAAAAGCCTGTTATTACTGGGAATTGATTTTCTCATATTAAACACACATCTCTAAATAGAACACTCCACACAAAGCGATGCGATGATAATATAAATGGCCATTAACACCTTCAAACGATGTGCCATTCTTAGTGGGACTTTGGCAAACAGGAAACCATGGCATCCAAGAGAAGAAATGCTAACATTGAAGAACTAAAACTGGCTTTAGTTATTCATGGAAATTTAACTTCCATTAAAGTTTATTCAAGTACCTAGCCTGATGCATTTAGACCCATATGTTGGTAATGGATTTAACAGATGGTTTTGTCTTTGGTTTCACACTTCCGTCGGCAATCAAACTGCTCTGAAGCAGCTCTTGAAATTGTCTTAGGCTTTTTGCTTGAATTGGGAAGCGAAAGGAATTCTATCCGTGCTACTGACACGTTAAACGAGATCCATTAAGCGTGGCGTAAACGAAGCATCTTGTCGTTCAAATACGTGTCGTGGGAGGGGCACCTAAATGAGTATTAAAGAAGTGTTTTACAATCACATTAAGCCCCAGAATAAAAGCCCTTGTAATGAGCACTAATGAGTATCTTTGTAGTTGATGAACGATGCACTGTAATCAAATTCAGCCGAGTATAATTGCATTTCGGGTGTCGCAGTGATACTTATGTATCGTTCTATCACTCTCGGTAAATGAATAAATCGTGAAAAATGCAATGTTTTCGACAGTTTAGATTCTTGCGTACCATCAACGGTTAACAAAGCGCCCCTCGGATGTGAGACTTCAGGCTTCAATTAAAGCTGAACTAATTCAAAGGAAATGTGGACAAACATGTCACCCGGACCTTTTTATGCTTTTTATTTGATCTGAATAAAGTCGTGATTCTATTTAAATTACTGACCCTGATTTAGCTAGTCGCAGCATAGCATTTGAAAGCTTTCCAAGCGAAGGAATTCATGAAAGGAATAATCAACGTGACTGTTCGTGTAGGGATGTGTATTTATTTAGGTTACCTCCGTGTCATGCTTGTCTTCATGTGTTCACTAAGCGAGATACGTGCCTTCCTTCGCCATTTCCGAGTTTGAAAGCTAAATAAAATATTACTGACTTGATCGTTCGCTAAAGTTATACTTGCTAAAATCAAAGTCGCGTAGTTCCGTTTGCGGTTGATTTTTGTAACTAATCTAAGTATAGAATTAAAAGGCAATACCTATTTCCTTTCGATATCTACTCATTATTGTTGTGTTAACTTAAGGCTGATAATTGATTCTTCCTCAGGGAATGTTTCTCGATCCCTCGCTCAATCTGTACACTATCATACACACTTGGTAATCTTAATCTTGGATTAAAGGTAATTAAGAGTCTAACACTCGCGCAATCTGTTTTCGATGATGTGAGTAAACTTTAAGAGAGTTGGCCACTCCACGTAATTCACCGGACACAAGTGATATACTTCCGCAGCTCGGAGTTACAACGTTATCCTCTGCTAATCTTCTGCACTAGTGTGCTTTTTTCCATGTCGCGATACTCGGGAGTTCAAGCGGAACTCTGTTGCAAACTGGCAGTCGAGAACGGCAGCGATTAAATTGTTTGTACGCTTCTCTTTAAATGTCACTGTTCTTTCGTGTTCGCGCGTTTGATGTGAAGGGTCTGTTTGTTGTTGTATTTGGGACGTGATTTAGTAATTTTGGATTCATCTGTAGTAAAAACCGCAAGGGGGAGCGAAGCTTTGAGTGCCGAATGGCGCCATTGACAGAGCTGATAATCCTATGTCTTCATACTGTTTGTGATCATCCCGAACCAAAACTCGAACCGCGACTTTCTTGGCCGTGCTCGGAGGGCAAATCTCTGATGCAAGCTGGCGGCGTTTTGTTTTGTATCTTCTGTTCTGAAACCATATTTTGACCTGTGTCTCGGTCAATTTTAAAGCGGCAGCGAGCTCTGCTCTCTCAGGTCCCGATAAATATTTTTGATGGCTGAACCTTCTTTCTAATTCGAAGACTTGAGCGTGAGAGAAGGCTGCTCTCGATCGCTTCTTCCTTGGTTTCGTCTGTTGTTGTGGGCTCGAAGTCGAGGTGTGGTTTACATCTCTTTCCTGGTTTTCTGTGATTAATGAAGAAACAAGAAACCTCAAATCAGATCAGACGCTACTGCTTAATTAAGGGTAGTCTAAGTTATTCAAATTAATTTGGTCCCTAAGAAGCCATCGATGGCTTGATTTCTTAACTCAAGGGCAGTGATTGAGTATAACTTACTGTGAACTTTCGCTATTCCCTCTTCTCGCTCTGCGTTCTCCTCAGGTTTTCGTTCTCCACAAAGTGAGGGCAATGCCGTGGAAACTTGGGAGGCGCTGTATGTCTTGTAACAGCCGAGTTGATGGATTGGGAACGCGCCTTGAAAGTATGTAGGCAAAGGCAAATAAGTCGGTGAAACGGGATGAGTATGGGCAGGGTGCTGACTCCAAGTGCCAAGACTGCTGTTATTCTGCTGTGGGACGTCGTGACGATTCAAAATATCGGTTATCGAGAACGGTGTAACTGGCGTTCTGATGGCTTCGTTCATGTTGTTATGCTCTAAATCTGGGCACGCAACAACGTTTAAGAAGAGATGATTGCAGTGTTACCGAAAAGGCCACACGCTGCTGGCCGAAACAGAAATAGGATACCACCCGTAGATGTGAACCCTAAAAACAGCTCTTGGAGACCTACAGGAATTTTTACAATATCATTATTCAGCGATAAGAAATCAAAATTGAACATTAATCGCCGATTGGTCGAAGTCTGCGTATCGCCTAGTGCTTGTTGATGAGAAAAGCAGGCTAATCAGGCCTTCTTATTGGCTACTTGCTTCATTTACGTAGATTGTTGACGTTTTTTAAAGAGCGTTGACACAATGCAATTAAGAACATACGGCCTCTCAATTACGCAAGGATTGGGGTCTTCCGAGTGAAGGAAGCATCAAGATGTGTGATCGAAACATCAAGAGTGGGTGCAAATTACAAGGAACATTTCAAAACACTGCTTGTTTATACAGATAACAGAGTAAAAGTTCATGTAGGTTAACCTCTCTTGGTGTAAGTTTTCATCAGGGCTGATAAAAACCTTTTGCAACTGAGCAGCGCAATTTTTTTAAAAACGATCTTCGGGAGTTGTTATGCAAAACACTTTGGACAATTTTCTTTGAAATGTACGACATTAGTCTCTGTTGTGATTTTTTCTCAAAGGGAATATATTTTTAAACACGAAAACTGACCAAAAGAAAAAAGCACATGACTGACGGCTAGCTTGGGGAATGAGCTAGATGGGTGGCACTAACAGTTTTGTTTTGTGGGTCTGCTTGTGGAGGGCTATTTAGTCGATAATGACTTCTCACCTCATGCCAATCATTGTGGCGATTCTGCATACGTGTTAATTCGTTTATTATTTTACTATTGTCAGGTAATGTCGCTTAATGATTGCAGTGATTGACGTTTGAACAAAAGAGAACGCGCCATCTGCTGCGAATCTTTTGTTGACAACGTTTACTTGCACTTTAGGACATTTCCATACAAAGGCTAGCCAGAGCAGATTTTTTATTCCGATCTCGTTTTACCTCTCAACGGAAACTTAAAGAGAAGGAAGTGCTTTGAAAAGAACACAGGCAATTGAAATGACAATATTGAGGCATTTAAAAGGTTTTTACTTGAGTGTGGATTGCTTTCAAGGATCTGAAATCGACATCATTAGCGTGTAGCTCGTGACAGCCATCAACTTCTGTTAACTAATGCGATTATTTTGGTGGTTCGCGGAGTTCAAATCATGTTTGCTGCTTTTATGCCGCTTTTTGACCTGCTTGAATACACTTAGGAAATTCTCTGCCGAAAGAAAAACTGCTTCAGTCACTTGGTTTTTTGAGCGTTCTTTCTTGTCGTACTTTGATCATATGTTTCAATTTCAATTTTATACTTTTCAATTTCTGAAGCGCGTGTTCATTTCAAAATCAATTTCGCCGCAAGTACCTCCCCGGTAATTCATAGGGTGTTACATTACTTTCGCTTCATCTTTGTAGTATTTAAACAGGATTGATTTCGGTACCGAAATTAACTAGATTTCTACAAGAGAAATGCGAATATTAATCGCAAAATTTAGATTTTTTTGTTATAAATAAATTGCCCGTTATTTCTTTTTACTAGGGTTCTTTAGAATTGACGCAATTACCGGTCGGTGTATTTTTGAAATGAGTCTTTTGACTAATGGAATATACGGGGAATAATTTCGGCTTTGATTCTTACCACACTGGACAAGAAGTCTTTCGCAGCCAAGAAAATAAATTAAAAAAAAATAAAATAATAAAATAAAATAAACATTCAAATCCATTCTAAATTAAGCGTCTAAAAGCCAGTACCACAGCTGAGAGTTTTCAACTTTGTAA